CCCGTCCCGAGGCCTCATATCGAGACACGCACATCGGACGGCACGCCTAGCAAGCCTGCTTTCTCCCCCGTGCGTGCTTCACTCACGGAACAGCCGATTGCATCGAAAACGAACGGCAGTGGCTGTGTTGGCGAGCAGCCTGCTAATGAACCTCATACTCACAATGCCTTGCCTCCTGCATCTGACATCCCCCCTGCCAATGGGGAGAAGGCCAAACAGCGAGTGACAAACAACGCGGCATCAAGCCCTCGGAACCCTCCGGCATCTCCCCCGGCCATTCAACGACACACAAACGCTCTGCAGAACGACGAGGACGTCACATTCATATCCAGTACCCCGCGCCCCCGTACCGCAAACCCTTTGGAGGAAACTATCAAGACGGAAAGCAGCGATAACGGCACCACCGCCACCGCCATCACCACCACGCTGTTGCCGCAGAAGGCAGTTCCCAACCCCCTGCTATCTGAGCAGAGGGTCCCTTTATTCTCGAAGCCCACCAAGGACGCCACCATTGCAGAGACCCCGCCGCGCAAGACAGCCGGTCCGCCCAAGCGGACTACCCAGCACCCAGCGGTACGTCGTAGCCTGCCGGCCTCTTTCTCCGACGGCCGACCGCCTCCCGCGTCGATGCCGATCAAGGCCTCAGTACCAGTGACGACGAGCCCGGCCGCGAGCCCTGTGCAAAGCGGTACGCCAAGAACCGCGTTGGGTTCCTTTTTCCAGGAGAGCCGCGTGAAGAAGCCCAAGCAAAAGACGGCCATGACGGAGAAGGAAAGGAGACAAGCGGCTTTGGCCAAGATGGAGAGGATGTCGAAGGAAGGACGGTATAAGCCCCCGTCTAGCACGATGCCTCCCAGGTCTTGAGGTCTTGAGCCAGAGGCCGACGTCGTTCATTTACAGTCTTCACTTGAGCCGTTGTACGAGAATGGGCGAGGATATGGGCATCAAAAGTTGATCTTGTGTTGATTAAAAGGGGTCGAACGATGCGGTTCTGTAGTAGCTGACGGTCGAGGTTCATTTCGTATCGGTCAGCACTGTCTATTGGCCTGCAACATGGAAATGGAGATGAAGCATAACGACACACATTGGGCGGAAAGAGCAAGACTTGATTTGAGTATAATACCCCTTTTGTAGCGAGTTGGTAGAAGGTATCAATTGTATTACACCACAGGTGCGATGAGGCCACAAGTGGCAAAGCTGATGCTACTCTCCAAAATAACAAGGCCAAGGTTCTAAATTGCTCTTGCAATCAATCTGATCTGTCTAGACTGGATCTAGTTGTGCTTTTTCGTGCCCGGCTCTCTGGAGAGTCTTGAAAGTTCTATGTTCCCTATGAAAAAAACACATTTCGCCAAACCCCAAGATGCTTCCCGTCGTATCCTAGTTGCAAATGAGTTGAGGGTGGTGGGTAGGTGGCTTGAAGGTGGGGGTAGGTTATTTGGGTTTCCGTGTCGCAGCAAAATTCCATGAGCCGACTCCGTATAGGTGGTGTTCACAAGAAAAAAACACCCTCTCTCTCCAGTGTTCCTCATAGTTGTTGCGCTGTGATTTCCCAATATTCCGTCATGTCTCAAAGGTCGTATCTCTCGTGTCATTACACCCCCCCAAGGTCGCCCTCAGGGTGATGTTGTGTTGTGGGTATATGGTTTTTATGGTATCTGTAATTTGCTCAGGTCGAGTCCTCGGAAGCTTGGGCCTCGGCGGCCTTCTTGGCCTTTTGTCTCTCTTCCTCTTCGGGGGTGAGGGTCTTGAGCTGAAGGGCGTGGATGCCACCCTCGCGGGCCATCTCCTCGCGCAGGAGGGCGTAGACCATGCGGTGGCGGGCGGACTGCATCTTGGACTTGAAAGACTCGGAGGTAATAACAAGTCTGCGTGACGACTGTTAGTCAAAAGAGGTCTCGTACTGAGGAATAGCAGAGTCTGATTTGCCGTACCTGAAGTGTGTTTCCTTGGAGGTGCTACCAGCCATGGCCTTGTGGTGGCTATGGAGGTGGGAGTCGTTGTAGATTTCGAGGGTGGTGGGGGAGAAGGCGGCGGTCACCTGGAGTGGTTCGGTCAGCAACGTTGGCTCACGGACAAGAAGACTGTCTCAAGGGCAGGATATCGTACCTTGGACCGAATAGCGTCCTCAACGGGGTTGGTGGAAGCCATGGTTCCGTGGGGTCTGGCAGCGCCCGAGAAGCCGAGGGCGTATCTTCGCAACATTGGTGTGTGTAGGTGTGTAGTTCCTCCGGTCAAGCTACTCCCAATCCTGCCGACAATGGGGCGGAATGTGTTCATGGGGAGTAGAAGGGGAGGAGGAAAGAAGAGAAGAGGGAAGGAGGTTTTCAAGTAAAAAAAAAGTAGGATGCGACGGTCTGCGGCGTGCGGCAGCGTGCGTCGACCGAGAAGCGGTAAGGAGGTATAGAAACTGGACAGGGGAGAATAAGAAAGCTGCCCTTGCGCTGGTGTGTAGTGTACGGATACCGGTGTGCGGTGTGGGTTGTGGTTTGCTGTGATTTGCTAGCCCAACAGCTTTTTTCGGTTTAGGTAGAGAGCGACGAGAGCGGGAAGCAGAGGAATGGAGCCGCTGCGCTGCTGCGTGTGCAAAAGGTACGGTGTGCAAAAAGTGTGACCCTGGAACTTGGGACTGGGAGCCGAAGCATGGATGATGGGAGATGGGGGTGGCGCTGGTGGGTTTGACGCTTGACAGAGGAAGCGAAGCAGAGGAGGGGAGAGACGGAGAGAGAGAGGAACGACGAGAAGGAGGATGAGTGGATGATGGAGAAGGACAATGGAGGCAGACCCCGGCCCAGGTAAGGTACGTTGTGGAAAAAAAAGAAGGTAGAGAAGATTCGGTGTATCGGTGAGAAAAGAGCGGACATGCGGGATGGGCTTGGCAGGCAACATGGCACATGCGTCCCGGCCAATCAGCAGACCGGGGGCCTTGCCTCTGTCCTTCCGGTTGGTAACCGGAGGACCCGCACCGGGGAGGCACTTCCAAACTTCCTTCCAGCACCACTGCACCACAGCACCACTGCACCAGACAGCGGTGCGATGAGACGGCCAGCATGTCCCATGGAAGTTCCTTCTCATCCCACTGTGCAGTATCTGGACATTCTTTTTTTTTTTTCCTTTCCTTTTCCTTTTGGTCTGCGGTAGTCCATGTGTCAAGGTAGGCAAACCTTGCTTACCCTACGGACGCCTCCTTCCTCGTATTTTCAGCACTCTCCTCCGCGGACACGCGCACAATGCTACAAGCAAGTAAGATGAAGAGGTAAAGGAAAAAACGGAAAGAAAAAAAAGTGTCAGCCGTTGCCACTCATCTTCCCGGTTGGGTTGTATTTTTGGCCTCTCATGTCTTGGAGACATGACTGACTTCCAAGTTCCTCGCAGATTTTCCCCGCCGACCTCGTGTCAGTATGTGAGGTGGTCGACCGAGTTAGCTTTGCTTTTGCAGTAAGTGCGTGTCAGTGACTCTGTCTCTCTCTGTTATGCCCACCGCCCTTTTTTTGTTTTTCGCTTCCCAGAACCATCCACGCTGCATACTCCGTACACCTAGCTTACCAGACCCCGGGAGGCTTTACCGTCCCATGTTTCTGAGTGGTCCGAAGACGCTAACGCGCGTTGAGATTGGGTGGACCAACAAGAACACCTAGAACAACTGGGGAACGACGGAACACAGAGCAAGCAACAACAGCACATGGGCACCCGACACACCTCCAGCCAGGTCCTTGGATGACTCCTCAGCCCTCGTGCCCTGCCTGTTGGCTCCATTCTGCTCACCGCGTGTTTCCTGAACGATGCCACAGACGCCTTTTGCGGCTTGCCATCCGTATCCATACCCGACCCCCAAAATTCCAACCCCCAACCCTCGTCACCACGCATCACAAAAGGCCAGAGGCGGTCCCTCTTCTTACTCGATAAGTACGGATAGACTTGGAGTGATGGAGCCTTGAGCCACGCAGCAAGTGGCAGGGCACCCATTCATCATTGGGCACCTGATCATCTAGATCTCTCGGTTCCAGAATACCAGCTGTTCGCTCACAACGTCGCCAATGCATGCGGGCGGGGAAACCAAGAGGACTCTTTGGGGAGAGCTTCCAGGCACCTTGCATGGATATCCAAGGTAGTGACGTGTGGTACGGTAACATTGTCGGTCGGCAGCGGGCAGAGATGCAGCAGACTCACCACCACCACCACCACCACCATCAGTGACCACAGCCAGTGACCACCACCACAACAACCTAGCAAGGGAGCAAAAAAGTCGAGAGGACCGCAAGTATCTTTACCTTGGCACGCTTGAATACCTGTCATTGCTGTCAACCTCGGAGGTTTACCCACACGCTATACAATGGAGGGACGGATAGGTAGGCAGATGTAGGTGCCGCTTGGGAAACGTCGGCCGCTTCGAACGGTTCCCCCACCGCTAGACATCCTAGGGCCAGGAACGGATACCTTGGACGTGAATCGACGCATCACGGCATCTAAATACCAATGCCTGATCCCAAGGCGCTGGGCCGTGAAAGCGCACCAACAACCCACGGTGCCACAGTCCAATATCCACGCAGGCGCACACACCATCTGACGGGGTTCCTCTCCGTGTATCTGGTCTTCACACCTTCAACTCCGGAGCTCCATAAAAGAGTCAAGCCTCAACTAGAGAGAAGGGAGCTGCTAGGATGTCCGGGCAAGCCACACTCAACCACCCAAGTTTTCCGTCCGGTCTTCGGCAGATCCTGCCGGCGGTCCTGCAGGGAGAAGTCCGATCCGGGACCTGACAGAAGCCAAAAAATAATTACCAGTTCATACCACACACACACACACTCACGCACCCAACCTGCAATCCCACGCCAACAGCTGCCGCGACCAGATCCGAGGGCAACCATTCGCAACTCCCGGGGTCCGTTCCCCCCTTCCCCCCAATACCCACTCCGACACAGCGCCGTGTTCCCGATCCTCCTTTAATCATAACGCAATTGATAACGACGCATATCTATTCCCCTCCTCCCCCCACCCCCATGTTGGCCTCCGGTTTGCGGAATGTAGCTCGACGGCCCGGCTGCTGCTGCTGCTGCCGAATATCCCCTTTCTCAGCCTTCGCCGCCGCCGCCGTCGCCGGTACTACAGCTACCGCAGGCTTCAACCTCTCCCGTCCCGTATCCCGATCCTTTGTTGCCGCGCGCGCATTGCAATCCGCAAGAATGGCTTCAACAACGACATCCCTCCCAAGGATCCCTCTCTTCGAGGCCATTTCCCGGCATGACCCCGAGTCCACGGCTGTTATTCACTCCTTATCCGGCCGCCGCTTCAAGTACGGAGAGCTCCTGGGTGACGTACGCCGCACGCGGAACAAGCTCTTAGACTCAGCGGGCAAGTCAGATCTTAATGGCGAGCGCATCGCATTCTTGGTAGAGAACAGTTACGACTATGTAGGTAAGCCATGTCGCATACCCCTTACACACCAGCTCTTAGACTCCTTTGGCTGTGGCCCAAACAACGCGCCTCAATTCTCACACTTGCTTGATTTCTAGTGACCCTCCTCGCTGCCTTTGCCGCGCGGTCAATCGCCGTACCTCTTTCTCCAGCCTTCCCCGCCGCCGAGCTCCAGTATATTCTAAACCAGAGCGAAGCGTCGCTGCTCGTGTCTTCGGCCAAGTTCGCCGCAAAAGCAAAGGAGGTTCTTGCTACAGAGCTCCTCTCAAGCCCGACGCAAGTCGAACTACAGAAGCATCTCGGTGGCAGCGTGCATGAGCAAGTTGAACTAGATAATTCCGATGCTGACGGCGCAGGCATGATGCTGTACACTTCAGGCACCACCAACCGACCAGTTCGTTGCCCCCTTTCTGAACTTAAGTGGCAGCTCCGAGCATGATCGCTAATTCTCTACATTAGAAAGGTGTCCTTCTCCCCCAATCCGTCCTCACGGCGCAATCCAAATCCCTAATCGAAGCATGGAATTACACCCCCGCGGACCACCTCCTCCATGTCCTCCCCCTACACCACATCCACGGCACGGTCAACGCCGTCCTCACGCCGCTCCTGTCAGGCTCCACGATCGAGTTCATGTTCCCCTTCAACGCCGACGCAGTCTGGAAGCGTCTCGCCGCGCCCTATATTACCTCCAGCGGTACAAACGGTACCAACGGTACCAACGGGGTTAACGGGACCAACAGCACAAACGGGACACACAAGAACATCGCAAAGGAGAAGATCACCTTCTTCACCGTCGTGCCAACAGTCTACTCTCGCCTCCTCGCAACCCACAAACTCCTCCCTCTCGACCCTGCGGAGCCCACACGAGAAGCCGTCTCCCCGCGCAACATGCGCCTCGCCATCTCCGGCTCGGCCGCTCTCCCGACGCCCATCAAGGAGGCCTGGAAGACTCTGTCCAAGGGCAACGTCCTCCTCGAACGTTACGGCATGACGGAGGTCGGCATGGCCCTCTCCTGCGGTCTCGATTTCGCCGACCGCGTCGACGGCAGCGTCGGCTGGCCCTTGCCCGGCGTCGAAGCCCGCCTCGTCGACATGGACACCGGCTCCGTCATCCCTCTCGGCGAAGACGTCGACCCCAAATCGGGCCGCGAGCGCTCCGGTGAAATCCAGCTCCGAGGTCCCACAATCTTCAAAGAGTACTGGCGCAACCCCGAGGCGACGGCCAAGGAGTTCGTCGAAGGCGAGGACGGCAAGGGGAAATGGTTCAAGACGGGCGACGTCGCCGTCCGGAGACCGGTCCCGAACGCGGGGCTCAACGCCGCGCAGGCGTCCTGGGCCAGGGGCGACATGTACTTTATCCAGGGCCGCAAGAGCGCCGACATCATCAAGACGGGCGGCGAAAAGGTCAGCGCCCTCGAGGTCGAGCGCGAGCTGCTCTCCCTCCCCGAGGTGGCCGAGGCCGCCGTCGTCTCCGTCCCCTCGGGGAAGTGGGGCTCCAAGGTCGGCGCCGTTGTCATCCTCAACACGGACGTCGTCCCACACTGGTCCCCGATGGCCATGCGGAGGGCCCTCCGGGATCGGCTCGTCAACTACAAGATTCCCCAGGTGCTCAAGGTCGTCGACCACATCCCGCGCAACGCCATGGGCAAGATCAACAAGAAGCAACTAGTCCAGGCCGTCTTTGAGGACCAGTTTAGCGGTGATGAGTTGTAAGAATAAGTAGCTGCTGGTGCGTGGATACTGCTCCGCTCACCTCACAATGTGAGATGCACATATGCTTGTTTGACTAGGACATGGAGGAATGTTGCATAGAATTTAGACAAAATAATACCTTGTTGAGCATTTGACCCTCACTGCGCAACCTTTACGAACTAAGATTGTGGTGACGAGATAGAACTCAATAGGCAATATTTCGTTATGAAGGAGAAGCATAATTAACAACCTTCATTTCATAAGGGTGCGTGCACCAGGGCATTCTGGCCTAAACCTAGGTATCTATTCCGGATATTTCGCATCCGCCTATGTACTATCGATCATGGCCGTCTAGAAGTTCCATAAAACCCATTGATCTCTTTTTTCGTTCTCAGCAAACGCCTTCGTCGAGCTCCAAGGACTGTCATAAGAGAGAACTTTTTCCGCCCCAGAGATGCGTTATCATCGATGCATAGCGTAGCATTGCCCCGTATTCCCCCCACTGGCATCAGGCAAAAAATAAAAAAAAAGAAGTCGGCTGAGAAAGTGCAACGAGAAGTGATATCGCGCAGACGGAAGTCGGCCTTCTCGATAGGTAGTGGAGCCCATCGGTTCCAATAAAATGCGTTAGTGAGCATGTGGTGCGAGCTTGTGTAATTCGTTTCTGTGGTTCTTTTCAGAGGCTGTGTCCATCGCTTTAGACAGTGTGCTTGGCCTTTGCACGGCTGCTTCCGCTGTGTGCGCTGTCCGTGTGGCCGGAGAACTCGACAACCTCGTTGGCGGGGAGGTTCAGGATGTCCTTGAAGCGCTTGCCAATGTTCAGGAGGATGTCACGGCCCTTATCCTGCGAACGTCCCTTGCCACCAGCCACGTCTCCGTCACCACGGCCAGGAATGCTCTTGCCAATGGTACGGGTCCAGACACCAATACGGAAGAAAGCCTTGCGGACGTTGACGACAACACCCATGACCTCTCCGTCGTCTTCAGCCTCGAGGGTCTCGCCAATAGCGGCCAACATGACGTGAAGCCAGAGATCGTCGATGGGGATGCTGCGCTTCTCCTTGAACTGGTAGGACCACTTGCCGCCGTGCTTGTTCTGGGCATCCTCCCACTCGGGGCGGACGCCGGCCTTGAAGAGATGGTAGTCGGACTTGAGGGCAAGCTCGGAGACAGGGGCGATGTTGTTCTGGTCGATAGTTAGCGAGTGATGAGAGGGGCCGCGGGGAAGGAAGGTGCACGTACATAGACACCCCAAAACTCCTCGACTGAGTTGAAGGTGATGACCTCCTTCAGAAGGTCATTCCAGTTGTCGCCCTACTCCACGTTAATATCTGGCCACGTGCCGTTCCCAATCGGGATAGACGAACCTTTCCGCTGGGTGGCTTGGTGAACCAGAGAGTCCACTTGTTCTGCAGAGGGTGCTTGACGTTGAAGTTCTCCTTGTCGTGGAAAACAGTAACGGGCTTCTCCGAGTCGTTCTCCTTGGTCTCGCTCTTCTCACCGCCCTCGGGGGAGATGGGAATGGTGGAGAGGTCGACCTGCTGGTCGGGGTTCGTGGGTGTTTGCACAGAAGTCGCCATCGTGAATGGATTTGTTGTGGTGTTTTCGGGCTGATTACGGATCGGACCGATGAGGGGTAGAATAGGTCGTCAGAGGCGCTGGGAAGCAATCTCTGAAGGAAAAGGCGAGTTAGGCTATCTCGGAGGTTGAAGAAGCCAAAGGGAAAAGAGGTCGCTGGTCGCGGTTGTAAGGTGGAAGAGTTGGAAAGTGGGAGGGTTCCGCACGAGAGTGGCTGAAGGTGGTGGTGACGACGGTTGCTCGCTTCACTATTGGGAAAGTACTGGAGGGCGATTGCTTCCTTCCAGGTATTCGGATGTGGGGGAGATTCCGACGTTGCGCCAGGCAAGTCAGCAAGGATCGGAAAGGGCGGATTAGAGGAAAGATTAGAACGGGCGGTGACGTTCTGTTTTTTTCGTGGGGAGACGACGAGGTCGAGAAATGGGAAGTTGCGATGGGTTTTGCACTTTGCGAGGGATTGCGCGCAGCAAACAGAAGTCTGAGTCTGCGAGCGAGAGCCTTTCCAGTCGCAAAAAAATGCCCAAGCGGGCTTGGCCAACGGGAGGGGAGCAAGGCGTCGTAAAAGTGGGGTATATCAAGGTGTACCTCAGTACCTTCTTGGTGGGCGAGGCCTAGGTTTTTTTTTATTTTTTGCGCAGGGCACCTCACAATTACGACCTAGCACAACTGCCACACCAAGCACGTAAGGCAGATGCCCACCCACTCAGTGAGGTGCGGTCCCGGGGTGCTAGTTAGGGCGAAGGAAAGCCCCCGACATGAGTGGGATTCTAGGTGAGCCCGGGGCCCGTTGCTCAAGGTGAGAGCGGAGGCGAGGTGAGCCTAGCCTGATGGATACGGTCCCATTACCTCAGGTTATTCAAGAAGCGAAGGAGACGAAAAATCCAGGGCAAGGTCAGTCTGGTCCCATTCAATACCAGGTTTGCGGAAGTTTAAGCAGCCCAGTGGATGTCAATTGCTCCAATAGTAGCACTTGTCAGCCTACACACCTTATAACTCCGTGTCGTGTTGTGAGGCTTGTTGAATGTCTGTCTTCAACGCCATGCAATCCGTTTCGCCAGTGTTGAGTTGCCTTCCCTCCCTCCTGTCTTTTCAAGACTAGCGGTCTAATAGAAGTATTGAACTGTTCATGTTGACTTTTAGCTTACGTTGCCTGTCATTGCTCAAGGCTGATAAGTCAGATAACTTTTCTTTCCTGCCTTCAGATTCGGCCACGTCCAACAGCTCAGACGAAGCTTCCGACTCCTAGGGTTGTGCTTGCTACTTTTCTGCTCCTGTCATCCGGATTGTTCCTTTTATTTCCTGTTTCTATAGCTCACCCATCTACCAGCTGTTTGCAGCCTTTCGCAGTCGTGACGGTCCTCTCCATACTCGGCCTGAACCGAGCGCCGCCTCCTGACCCCTTCTCCTTGCCCCTTCCTACGCCAAAAGACACATCCTTGTTTCGACATCACGCTTTTATCTGGCCTCGAAGCACTGCCATCATATTTTTGGCTTCAACCTGCGGGGGACCTTTCCAGGAGCTTTCCCTAGTCCCTTCCGTTGCCAATCACATTCAATGACTTGAAATGTTATTATTTCTTATGAAGCTCCCATCCCTCTCAGCTCAGGTGACCTGCGAATTAGGTGGCCTGAGCGAAATACCTTCAACTTGAGTCAAACAACACGCAAGCTAGGCAATCTTTCCCGTCATCCCCTACCACCCTCTTCTGCAATCGAAAACTCAGGCGAGTCGAGCTCGGCTTGAAGCGGTGATGGCTCCAGGGTTCGTTTCGGCCAGGTCGGTCGCTTGTTTCAGTCATTGGACACTCTGCCCCACATGCGTCGAGGCTCTATTGACGTCGTCTCAATGAATAGAGGGACGGTCATTTTAGGAGAGCTGCATTGTGCTCCTGGACTTGAATGAAAGAAACAGGACACTTGCTCTACTTACTCTCATACTTTCCCATTACACCGTCGGCCAAGAGCTAGGAGGGGAACGCAGGGTGGAAGACGGATACGTTATCTTTGTTCAGCTACGTAGCTGCTAGGCGGCTGTATGCATCGCCTGTATCTCGTTGGGAAGTTCTATAATAGGTCCACGACACCAGGTGCCAACCTGTTGGAGACAAACAACAATGACATCGATGATAATGGTCGAGTGTTCTTTGTCCCGCGTCATCCCTTGGACTATCACAAGGACAGCGACCGGGAGTATGGAGCACAGCGGCCCGTTTAGATTGCAGAGCATGCTCGTATGATAACGCAGTTGAGCAAGCAGCGTGATACTCATAAAACCGAGGCGGCGCTGCGTGAGACGCGGTCGCGATGTACAGATAGCTGATGATCAAGGGCAACATCGTTTCTTGAGCAAGCTATCATAAATTGACGGTTTTCGACCATCTAGAATTTCTTCGACCGATCCATAAACACCCGTCAAACCTCTCGAGCATTACACTACGTTTGAATCGATCCTCAAAGCACTCCAGATGACACCAACGTACCCAGGTTCACATGGCCCGAATTGTAGCGAGGCTTGCAGTCCGACGGCGCAACAGAACAGGAAGAACACGAAAGCAAATCCATCAGCAACCAGAGCATTTGCGTCCAAAGATCTCAAAGAATTGAAAGGATTTTGCCCCGAACGACTCGTCCTGCAATGGGGCCTTCCACGTTCTTCGCTCACAGACGACTTCTTTACGCGTCACTATGCCGCCATCATATCAAATATCAATCTCCACGCCAAGCAGATTTTCGAAGTTGGCGATGTTCCGCCTCCAGGACCCGTATGGTCCGTGGTAACTGGCGACCAGAGTTCGGAATTGGAACGTACTATCGAGAAAGTTGCCCGGCCAGATCCGCGAGACAAGAGCCCTTGGGATGATCTGATTGCCTGCGACTACAAACGGATACTAGTCATGAGGGCCTTCTTCTTGAAGCTTTTCGAGGAACAGATATTTTCACTTCAGCTATTTGGCGCAGACAACCAGCAGCGACTTTCACTGCTCCATCAGGACAAGCAGTTCATGAAGCACGAAGGTTGGTTCCCCCCCTCCCCTCCACCCTCATCCACGCAACCCCGAACAAGACACAGCAACTAACTGTCTACTAGGTTTCAGACGATCGGAGTTGAGAGCAAAAACGGTGAATATGCTACTAGAAGAGAATCATGGCCTGCCACCTCTGTTTTGGAAGCAAGTCGACCATTATACTATGAAGACCTTCTTGCTCATAAGGCCAATCCTGACCTGGGTGAGAATGACCTGGCCTGAGAACGGCCCGAACCCTTCTATCCGGTCAATTTTCCAGATGATTCACCACGACGTGGCTTACGCGGCTTGGCTTTCCGTCAACATTCGTCTGTCTCCCGAGGTTCTTCACTTTGAATGGCGCGAGCCCGACGAACTCTATGTGCCGGGTGACTTTGAGATCCCCGATCCAGGAGTGCTGCCAAGACCATCCAACGCCTTATTGAGCCCGACGTCTACTGGGTTTATCGTTTCGACAAGTCGATTCAGAGAGCCGCCGATAGAGCCACCGTTGTCGAGAGTGCTGATTTCCTTTGTCCCCGTCGTTCAGAGAGTCTCGCTCGTCGAGGGTGCCAGTGGAGAAGAGCCCATTGGTAGCCAGAGGAGAAGGTTGTTGGAGTCTCGGACGGCCTACTATACCCTCTGGCGCCACACGGATGAGGTTGGTTCATCACCGCGCTCGCTTGTCGACCACGCATGCGAGATGAGGCGACCTAGACCGACATACTTCTCTGCGATCATCCGTCCATTGTTCTGGCAGCTTCTGATCTACATTTTGCTCATTCAACTCCTGAGATACGTCTATCAACTGCGGGACGAGTACAGCAGGCGAAACCATGAGGGTGGGGCGGACTCTGCATACGATCCGTCGTCCGGTCGTGCTGGGACCTATGAGGGTGTTTAGGAATCTAGTTTTACCAGGTAGCTTTAACTGGGCCTGGAGTGGTGAATTTTCGGCGTTGATGGCGTGGCTTGTACGTGAGGATCAGGCGGACTCTTGTTTGAGTTGACAGCTGAGCGAGCAACACAATGCGAAACACCTTTCCAAATATCACTCAAGGGGGCAGACAGACATGTGAGCTGGTGTTGTTGATTTAGGGCAACACTGAGGAGGTTTGATGCAGAGGATCACTGCAAACTTGTAATGACCAGCTCTCTTAATAACCATGAACAAGAAAGACTAAAGATGGTCTCAGGGACACTCTAGTCGCCTCACTCGGCCAGCACTTCATCCCAGAAACAAAAAATGGACGTCCAGACTGGCTATGAGGCAGATTTGGCAAAAGAAATGCGTCGAGGGGGAATCGAACCCCCGGCTCCCCGACGCTGCTTGATGGCAACGGAGAATTTTACCACTAAACCATCGACGCAGATGATCAGATATCCGGAAATAGAAGCCGGACGAACTGATTGGAAGTCTGCCTGCGAGAAGGTGACTATATCCTGAGAGGTAGAGATGGCCATTGTGTGTGTGGGGAGCGAGGGTTCGTGCATGAGGGTTTCTGTGGGCTCGCGAGTTGCGGTTCCCGGGGCGACTAACAGTTGCAAGCGGCGGCGGCTCCACCCGTCTCTGGGACTCCAAAGGCGTCGAGAAATTGTCCGACGAGGACAGATTGCCGCGGTTAGAGTAATTTGCGCAAGAGAGATGCTTAGATTCAATCTCGGCCGACATATTCGGGATAATGTCGGGTTGTTTCTCTGCGTGAAAGACGTCGGCCGTTCGTCTGAATGGGCAAGCGAGAGCCAATCGTTTGGCAGGCATTGGCAAGTTGGGAAGGACCCCTCCAGGAGCTCTCTGAGGGGCAACGAAATACACGTGCAGGGGGACCTGAGTTGGGGACGGTATCACGGCCCAAAAAGAGGGATACGCTTTTTTCTGGCTGGGCAACTGACCGACTTCGGGGAGCCCGACATATCTGCATGAAGGTCCCTCTTTGACCGAGCTGTCGCGGAGACTGAGAACAGTTGAGTAGGTAACCACAACCACGGCAACTTGA